AGAGTGAGCCTGGTCGAGCCCACGGGTGGTCGGGGCCCCAGGGTGCACGCAGTGCCCACCTCCTTGGCTGTCCAGCCCTGCTGCAGGTCTTGGGCTGCTACATTTCTCTCGCGCCCCCCGAGGAGGAGGAGGAGAAGGAGGAGGAGGAGGAGGAGGAACAGAAGGATGAGGAGGAGGAGGAGAAGGAGGAGGAGGACGAGGAGGAGAGGGAGGAGGAGCGCTCAGGCGAGAGCCGCATTTGGGAAGCAATCTGCTTTCAATCCTTTTCAACCGTTCGAACTTTCGAAGTGTGATGAGGTCGCAGGACAGGCGTCTTGCCCGCCAAACCGACATGAGGAGGGGAAGAGGAGCAGGACGGGAGGGGTGGAAGGGTGGAACAAGGGTCGGAGAGGGTCGGAGGGAGGAAGGAGGGTTGTGTGTTCGATGGCTGTTTTGCCAACTCCAGTCCTCAGGCCGCAGCGCCCCCCTTCTGTGCGCCTCTGGGGGAGGAGGCGGATCACCCCCGGCAGGAGGAGGAGGGGAGGGAGGAGAATAATGATGACGAATCATGCTGCTGCTGATGATGATGATGATGAGGAGGAGGAGGATGAGGATGAGGATGAGGATGATGATGATGATGATGATGATGATGATGATGATGATGATGATGATGATGATGATGATGATGATGATGATGATGATGATGATGATGATGATGATGATGATGATGATGATGATGATGATGATGATGATGATGATGATGATGATGATGATGATGATGATGATGATGCTGCTGCTGATGATGATGATGATGCTGATGATGATGATGATGCTGCTGATGATGCTGATGATGATGATGATGAGGAGGAGGAGGAGGAGGAGACGGGGAGGAGGAGAGGAGGAGGAGGAGATGGAGGAGGAGGAGGAGGAGGAGGAGGAGATGGAGGAGGAGGAGGAGGAGGAGGAGGAGGAGGGACCCAGTGCGAGTCACATTTTTTCGATTTCAGGGGATTGTTCTTCACGCGCAATGCCGACGCTGAGGCGCCCGTGAACGACTTGACCCAGACTGGCCCTATGCGGAGGAGAAACGCCACTTATCTTTTGGACCAGTTGCCGGATTATCATGGCGACGGTGCTCCGTCGCAGGGCATCGTTTGTATTACAAGCTGTCAGCCTTTGGCTGGCGTGATCCATGGGAATACCGTACTTTCGGACCTTAGCCTGGCTCCCATGTTCGAACGCAACGCCCGTACCATCTTCAGCATGTTCAATCCGACTGGCGCCCAGCACGTGACATCGATGATATGGTCTGCGGGCAGCAACGGGCGTGGAATGTACGGTCCGAGTCCTTGGCGAACTATACCATGAAAAACCAGAGGTTCTGGTCTCAAGCTGGTCACATTCCCACCGACGACTTTGCAAATGCGTTCCTCCTGGTGTACGCAAACGACGGCAGGCTTGCCGGGACGCGCTCAGCAGCCGCTTTGTGCATCGATGCGGTTGTGTGGGAGCGGGGCTATGCAGTGACGATCCCGATAATGATTGCAGGAAATCGTGTCAGCGATCCGAAGTCTTCCTTCACGGCTAAGTCAATTGCTCCAGATGAAGCGGTGGAGGCTGTGAGAATTTCACGCTTGCAGTATGCAGCCGGCCATCCAACATGTGACTTAGGTTTCGAGACAGGAAGAGGAGGAGGAGGAATAGGAGGAGGGGGAGGATATGAGGGAGGGGCAGGAGGCAAGCTAGGTGCGTTCGCGTCATATCTGACGTCCTACTCCTTCCCCTCATCTTGTACCATGGCGTAGATGTGCTCTTGATTCGCACCGTCGGATGGCGAGCAGCTGCGGCCCCAAGAATCAACGAATCGACACCCCAAATCACGTCCGACGGTTTTGTCGGGGGGGGCAGTTTCTGGATTTTGAGGCCTATCTGGAAGGACAACCAGCCCTGCAGCGGGAGCACGATTCGGAACGATCGGAATCGCGGAAGCGAGGCCAGCACTGCAGCGGGAGCACGATTCGGAACGAGCGGGAACTCGAACATGAGGTCAGTGCTTCAGCGGGAACAGCATTTTGACAAAAACACCCGAGCGAAAACCGAACCTCCGGGAATTTGGTTAGTCAAACAAAAGTACGCGGAGAGTGGCATGTAATTGTGAGGAGGAGGAGGAGGAGGAGGAGGAGGAGGTCGGATGGAATCGTGAGCAGGGTATCTCTTGCCCTCCTCCTTCTCCACCCTTCCCATTTTAGTATTTCACGTTTCGCTTATCCCAGCCAGCCCACCCAGCAACGATGCCCAGGCGAGTTGCCTTGATTGATCATGGGGAGTCTGGGGGACGTACACTGGAACAAAGCAGTAAAAAGGTGTCAAACCGAAGTTTGGGATCAGTCTGGGTAGACCCAGGAGTGAAACACATGTGCCTTCGCGGACCCGTCGAACGAGGACGGGTGGAAAACAAGGATTCGGAGGCGGGAGGATGACGAATAGGAAAAGGTGGAGGAGGAAGCATGATGGAGGAGTT